CCGCCGCCCGGGAAGCCAGCCGGCACGCCGCCGCCCTAGACCCAGGGCCAGCACCCCAACATCGGGAGCCTGCACCCCGAGATTGGATCCGGAGATCTGGAAACCCGAGCCTGGGACTGTGATCTGGGGCTGGGACCCCAAGACCTGGAGCCTGAACACCCATATCTGGGGCTGGGATCTCAGCATCAGTCCCTGGGACCCCAAGATTTGGAGCCTGAACCTCAAGATTTGGCATCTGAAACCCCGAATCTGGAGCTGAACTCTGAATTCTGCGCCTGGGACCTTGAAATCTGGGACCGGATTCCCATATCTATACCCTGGAACCCACTATTTGGGACCTGAACCCTAAGATTTAGGCCTCAAATTCCAAAATCTGAACCCTGGCATTCCAAGGCGCCTAAACCTGAGTTTGGGCCTGAAGTCCTTGCTGCAAATCTGAATGCTGAAATTTGGGGCTAGAGACCTCCAAATCTTGACTAAGCACCCCAGTATCTGAACCCAGCACCTCAGTATCTGATCCTAGGACTGGGCTTGGGGCTCAGACCCTAAACTCTCCATTTGGCTATTTAGCATCCCAAGGCTGGAGCTGGGAGAGCCTGACCCTGAGCAACCCAGACGGGGTCTGGGTCTCTAAAATTGGACCCTAGAAGCCCAATATTTGGAGAGCTAGGACCTGGAGCATCAAGGTCTAGAGACTCCGTGGCCACAGATCTGAGCTGGGACGCAACAGACTGTCCCTCTACAGAGGTCTTGGGGACAGGGAAGGCATGACCAGGTGCCCCCTCCAGAGCCCTGCCCCCTGTCCCCCTGGAGCCTGAAGACACTGCTCCCTGGGGCGGCTTCCAGCTCAGGTAAGGCTATTGGGAGACCCCCATGGTGTGGAGGGACTTGGGAGGAACTTTGTGGCTGCGGGAGGAGGTAAGTGAGGACCAGTCCCTCTGGGCACCCTTGGGGTTTCCCCAGGAAACAGACATTCCCCCCTCCAAGGGTCTGCCTCCCGCTCCTGCTCTGCCTCAAACATTCTCTGGCCATTTGGCCAGCCCTGCCCCTCTCTGACCTCTTCTTCCCCAGTTGATGGCGTGTCCAGGTCTCTGCCCCCCGCCCCGTTCTCCAACTTCTTCCCACATCTCTCATCTCACCGTCTCCAGCCGCCTCTCCTGTCCGCCTCTCCTCTCATTGACCATCTCTATTCACCTCTTCTCTGTCTGATCATCTTGGACACTTCTGTCCACGGCTCTTCTCTCTGGCCATCACTCCTCTCAATGACCATCTCTGTGCGCCTCTTTTGCCTTTGATCATCTTTAACACCCCTGTCCACAGCTCCTGTCTCCGGCCACCTCTGTCTCCTGCTTCACTCAGTGACCACCTTTGACATCTCTGTTCGCCGTACCTCTCTCTGATCATCTTTCACTGGCTCTCTTGCCCTTGTCCATCCCTGACTCTAAGCCTGGACCTGTGACTGTCTCTGACCATCTTTGACATCTCTGCCTACCACTCTTCTCTCCAGCCACTCCTGTCCATCTCTCCTCTCTGACTATCCTTCACCATCTCTCTTGCCCTCCTCCCGCCCCTGACCCTAACTGCCAGTCTACGGCCACCCGACCATCTGTGGCCTTTACTGACCACCTTTCTTCTCTCTGTCTCTCGATCATTGGTGCTCTCTGATCATTTCTAAGATCTCTGGCTGCCTTTCCTCTCTCTGATGACCTTCCTCCACATCCGTCATCCTAACCAGCAGTCCTTGTCTCCAACTATCCCGGACGTGTCCTCTCCTCCTCTCTCTGACCGCCTCTCTGGCTTTTGACCATTTCTAACCACCTTTGACCATCTCTCCTGGATCTGACCAACCCTGACCCCTTCTCCTCTCTTTGTCCACCTCTCGTCTTCTTGACCATCTCTACCTGTCTCTTCTCTGGTCGTGTCTGATGACTTCTAGTCATTTCCGCCACCCTGACCACCTCTTTTCTCCTTGGCCACCTTTGAGCATCTCTCTTTGACCTCATCTAAAGTCCTCTGGCTTGCCTTCTACGCTCCATGACCAACCCCCATCCTCCGACCATCCCAGGGTATTTCTAACCACCTCCCTGTCCTCTGACCCTTTGTTCATTTGTGCTCCCTCTGTCCCCACAAGACACATCTCTCTCCCAGAGTCTTTGACCATCTCCTCTGGCTTCTGATCTGTCTGACTGCTCCTGTGTCTGACCATCTTTGACCAAGTCTTCTGCCCTCAGCCCACTGTGACCTCCTCTCCTGGTCTCAGACTACCCCAGCCACCTCTGGCACCCTTCTGCTGGCCTCAGCCTGCCCTAACACCTCTCTTCTTTCCTGCAGGCCACCCCTGCCCGCGATGGCCGTCCTCCCGCTGCTCCTCTGCCTGCTGCCGCTGGCCCCCGCTTCATCTCCACCCCAGCCAGCCACATCCAGCCCGTGTCCCCGCCGCTGCCGCTGCCAGACGCAGTCCCTGCCCCTGAGCGTGCTGTGCCCGGGGGCAGGCCTTCTATTCGTGCCACCCTCGCTGGACCGCCGGGCAGCTGAGCTGCGCCTGGCAGACAACTTCATCGCGGCTGTGCGCCGCCGCGACCTGGCCAACATGACGGGCCTGCTGCATCTGAGCTTGTCGCGGAACACCATCCGCCATGTGGCTGCCGGCGCCTTCGCCGACCTGCGCGCCCTGCGCGCCCTGCACCTGGATGGCAACCGGCTGACCTCGCTGGGTGAGGGTCAGCTGCGCGGCCTGGTCAACTTGCGCCACCTCATCCTGAGCAACAACCAGCTGGCAGCCCTGGCGGCCGGTGCCCTGGACGACTGCGCCGAGACCCTCGAGGACCTCGACCTGTCCTATAACAACCTGGAGCAGCTGCCCTGGGAGGCTCTGGGCCGCCTGGGCAACGTCAATACCCTGGGCCTCGACCACAACCTGCTGGCTTCCGTGCCTGCCGGCGCCTTTTCCCGCCTGCACAAGTTGGCACGGCTGGACATGACCTCCAACCGCCTGACCACCATCCCGCCCGACCCCCTCTTCTCCCGCCTGCCGCTGCTGGCCAGGCCCCGTGGCTCGCCCGCCTCCGCCCTGGTGCTGGCCTTCGGCGGGAACCCGCTGCACTGCAACTGCGAGCTGGTGTGGCTGCGGCGGCTGGCGCGGGAGGACGACCTCGAGGCCTGCGCCTCGCCCCCTGCTCTGGGCGGCCGCTACTTCTGGGCCGTGGGGGAGGAGGAGTTTGTGTGCGAGCCCCCAGTGGTGACTCACCGCTCGCCGCCCCTGGCGGTGCCTGCGGGTCGGCCCGCCGCCCTGCGCTGCCGGGCAGTGGGGGACCCCGAACCCCGCGTGCGCTGGGTGTCACCCCAGGGCCGGCTGCTGGGCAACTCCAGCCGCGCTCGCGCCTTCCCTAATGGGACGCTGGAGCTGCTGGTCACCGAGCCGGGCGATGGTGGCATCTTTACCTGCATTGCGGCCAATGCAGCTGGCGAGGCCACGGCTGCTGTTGAGCTGACCGTGGGTCCCCCGCCACCCCCCCAGCTAGCCAACAGCACCAGTTGTGACCCCCCGCGGGACGGGGATCCTGACGCCCTCACCCCGCCCTCTGCTGCCTCTGCCTCTGCCTCCGCCAAGGCAGCTGATGCTGGGCCCCCTACGGACCGTGGCGTCCAGGTGACTGAGCATGGGGCCACAGCTGCTCTCATCCAGTGGCCAGATCAGCGGCCCATCCCAGGCATCCGCATGTACCAGATCCAGTACAACAGCTCAGCCGACGACATCCTCGTCTACAGGTGCAGGGTTTAGGCTGCGGGCAGCTCGGGTGGGGGTGGTGAGGTGGAGGGAGGGTTGCAAGTCCACCTCCTGATACCCCAAGCTGCAGCACAGCCGAGAAATGAGCTGCAAGGCTACAAAGGAAATTAGACAGCAAAGGTAAAAGAAATCAGGCCAAGAGAGTAAAAGAAATCCAGCAGCAGTGGTAAAAAGAAGTCAGACGGTAGAGAGAAAATAAGTTAGGTAGCAAATGTAAAATAAATCAGGCTCCAGGGCTAAAACTTATCAAGCAATGATGATAAAAGAAATCAGGCTGCATGGGCAAAAAGAAGTAAGGCAGCAAAAGTAAATGTTAAACGTAAAAAGGCAATCTGCCTTTGCCTCTGCCTCTGCCAAGGCAGCTGATGCTGGGCCCCCTACAGACCGTGTAAAAGTTAATTGGAGGGGTGCAATTTAAGAAGTCAAGGTAAAGAGGAACCAGGTGTTTCCAGATGACAGGGCCAGACACGAGCCAGGCTGTGGGAGGAAAAGAAGATCAAGCAGGAGGGTGCAGGGTCACAGGCAAAGTGAAATGAGGCAGCCCTGTTGCAAAGGAACTCAGGCCAGAGTGGGGAGGAGGTTAAAGAGGGATTGGCCTCTAGGTTTGTGAGTGTAAACTGCTACACGTGTGGAGTTCTATTCTGGTCACTTCTCAATTTTTGATTTTCTAAATCAAATTAAGCCTCGTTCAGTCTCCACCTGCTAGGTGAACAGGAGTGTTGAGTTTGCCCCTGTTGGGGATTCCCTCCTCCCTTCTGTTGTTGCAAACACAAAACCTGGGGCTCACACACTCCAGGAGGGGAGTCAGTACAACTTCTGCCCCTGAGCCGGGGAGCACTGGAACATCTGCTGTGGCCACATGTGGTCAGTAGTGGTGGCCAGATGGCTCCCTGTTCTCACTGCCAGGCTGGGCCACGGGCCTCCCAGGGCCCGGAGTCTGCACCTCGTAAAGCCAGTACTTGGGTCCCCTTTCCCTCCCCAGGGGCCCACACTCCAAGAGATTGTCACTTTATTTCCTTTCCAGCAAGCTTTTTCCCTCCCTTTCTCAAACAGCAGCACTCATTCCGCGGAGGGCCCACACCTGAAAATCACATGCATCCTGCCCACCCTGCCTGGCAGGGGAGGGGGCGAATGCCATCCTAGATAGTCACCCTCCCAGAGTCAACCACGGAGTTCCCTGTACCTCCCTCATTAAAGCAGTTGAGGAGTAAAACAGATTATAAAACCAGTTAAATCTCCAACAGGGTGCTCTGCTGCAAAAGGAGATAGAGTGGGATTGGGCGCTAAGGACAGGACAAAATGAGAAAGATGAGGATGTATAGAAACCAGGCAACAGAGATAAAGGGGAATCAGGAGACAAAGCTGGAAAGAAAGAAGCAACAGGGAAAAAAAGAAATCAGTGATGGCTGAGGCATAGCAGCTTAATGAAAACGGACTCAGACGGCAGGAGCACTGGAAAACGGGCTGTTGAAACAATAATAATAATAAGGCAATGGGGCTAGGGGGACATTCATTGGCAGGTTCGAAGGAAGCCAGGCGTCAGCGGTTGGATTAGAGAGAATTCTCGCTGTACACCGGAGGAAGATCAAGCAGCTGGAAGAGGGAAATCGGGCACAGCTGGAGGGAAGTCAGATGGGGAGCAGAGGGAAGTCGGGTGAGGGTCTAGAGGGAGACCAGGAGGTGGGATTAGAGGGAAATTGATGGGGGCTGGAAGGAAGTGGGCATTGGGGTAGAGGGAGGTCACAGGGTTAGAACACAACTGGGCGGCGAGTGGGAGAGATGTCTGACAGCGGGGCCACAGGGCCCTCCGGGGGGCAGGCTGGTGGGAGGCGAGGTGATAGACTAGGGAACTCAGGCAGTGAGCTGGGGGAAAGGGGGGACGAGAGTGAAATCAGGCGAGTGGAGCAAAGTTGAGCAGCAAAGTTCGAGGGAATTAGAGCTGCAGGCCGGCGGGAGATTGGAAGGCAGTGCAGGACAGGGATCAGGAGCTGGGGACAAAGTAAAACAGACCTGGGAGAACTCCAGGGGTGAGCTACAGAGAAATTGGGCAGAGGGGCTAGAGTGAAGCCCCGCAGCAGAGCAGAGGGGAGGTGGGCAGCGGCAATAGAGGGCATGTGGGTCTTGGGGCTCGAGGGGGTCAAACTGGGGGATCTGAGCGGCAGTGACAGGAAAGAGAGACAGTGGGCCGGGTGAAATTGGCCAACACACTGGAGGGCCATCAGTCGGCGGCTGCCTAGGTATCAGAGCACAGGGAATTCCGATCGCAGTTAGAGGGATTGCCGCTAGAGAGAAATGAGGCAGTGGACTGGGGGGAAATCCTCTCGATTTCAGGGTTGGGGCGGAGCGCGGGGTGGGTGCTGGGCATCCAGAGACCTGACCCCTCCGGCCTGTCCCTCCAGGATGATCCCGGCCGACAGCCACTCCTTCCTGCTGACGGACCTGGCCTCGGGCCGCACCTACGACCTGTGCGTGCTCGCGGTGTCCGAGGACGGCGCCACCGGGCTGACGGCCACGCGGCCCGTGGGCTGCGCGCGCTTCTCCACCGAGCCCGCGCTGCGGCCGTGCGGGGCCCCGCACGCACCCTTCCTGGGCGGCACCATGATCATCGCACTGGGTGGTGTCATCGTGGCCTCAGTACTGGTCTTCATCTTCGTGCTGCTTATGCGCTACAAGGTGCACGGCGGCCAGCCCCCGGGCAAGGCCAAGGCGGCCGCCCCCGTCAGCAGCGTCTGCTCGCAGACCAACGGCGCCCTGGGCCCCACGCCAGCCCCCCCGGCCCCTGAGCCCGCCGCGCCCAGGGCCCACACCGTGGTCCAGCTGGACTGTGAGCCCTGGGGGCCCAGCCACGAACCCACGGGACCCTAGCCTCGCGCCACCTCTATGGCCCTCAGGCCCTAGGGGTGGCAGGACCCAGGCACCTGGTGGGACCTGGCCTCAGACTCACCAAACTGCTCACGGTTTTTAAAACTCTGATGGGGAGGGTGTCGGGACACCGGGGCACAACAAGAAAGTCCTATTTTTCTAAGCTTGGGCCTGGGTTCTTGCCCTTGTCTGTGTCTCTGGGGGTTGGGGGTGCCACGTCTGGGGAGAGACCCCCCCACCCAGTTCTGTCTGAGGGGTCTGGATGAGGCTGAGGATGGCCATCCATTCAGTCAACAGACATTCCCTGAGCATCCTCCCTGGGCGTGCCCTGCTGGGTGGCGCTGCCACGACCCAGACAGCCCCAAGCCCTGCCTGCAGACAGTGACAGCTCGGAGGGATCAGAGAAGTGGAGATGAGGGAAGCCGAGGAGATTGTGGGATCCCAGGAAAGGTGCCTGACTCAGCCTAGGGTGTGGTCAGGGAGGGCTTCCTGGAGGAGACATGTGACCTGAGAATGACATCTGAAGGAGATAATTGGGCAAAAAGCAGAGGGAAAGATGTTCCAGGCAGAGGGCACAGCACAAGCAAGGACTTAGTAAGTGCCAGGCACTGGGGGTCTAGTGGTAGAGGTGAGGCAGGAAGGGTGAGCTGGGCCAGGACCCCCAGGCTGAGGAGTGCAGACTCAGGCCTCATACTACTGGGGAGCCATGGAGGATTCTATGCAGGGGAGGGACAGGATCAGGTTTGGGCTTTAGGGAGATCCTTCTAGCCGTCATGAGCAGGGTGGGCCAGAGGGGAAGACTGAAGCTGGGAGCCCGGGGGAAGCCAGCGCAGGCACCTGGGTGGGTGAGGACACGGCTGGACCAAGGGAGGGCTGGGGAACGCAGTGAGGGGTGGGGGGACGGGGGGAGACATGCAGGAAGCTGAGTGGGTGGGTTATGGAGCTGAAGGGCCATGGGGGAGGGAAGTACATAGGGCTCCAGCCAGGGGAGGAGACAGTGGAGCTGCCCCGATACAGAACCAGGGAGGAGGGGCAGGGTTGGGGAAGATGCTGAGGCCAGTGTGGGGCCTGGTAGATGTGGGACATCCAGGGGGTGGCAGCCAGGAGACCTCAGGATCCCTGGTTTGAGGCTGGAGCTGGGGTCAGAAATGAGGGCTCGGTTGAGCAGTGATGGGGAACTGAGGCCGCCAGGATGTGAGGTGGCCTCCAGGACTTTCCATATTGAAGGGACAGGCAAACCTAGGCTGAAAAACAAAGACTAAACAGGAGCAGCTGGTGGAGGGACAGAGCGAAGCACACCAGGCAGGTGAGGCCAAGTGACTGTTGTGTTTGATGGCATCAGGCTGCAGGGCCCCCAGTGAGAGCAGGGTGAGGGGACCTGCCCGGCAGGTGCCAGATTCAGCTGACTTGGGAGCAGGAGGCAAGAAGTGTAGACAGGGAGTGGAGACCCTGGGATTCTGGGGCCCAGAGCCTGGTTCAGGTTGCTCTGGACCTTTCTGGCCCGCATCTCTCCAGGGCTGGTCGTCACTCTGTCTTGAGCTGCCCCAGGGCCCCGTCAGACATCAGGCCTGGAGGTGTGGAGGACCAAACCCTGGGCCTTGGAAAGGTCGGGCCTCTTTGGAGATCCAGGGATGGGATGGGCAGTAAGAGGAATAGCGCTCCCTGCCCTCAGGCCACTGCTGGCAGGGGGTCCAGAGGCAGAGATGTGGAGGGAACTTGCATCCCGTCAGTCATCTCTGGAGTGATGCTGTGTGAGGAGCACGGCAAAGAGGGCTCAGGACTGGACTGGCCCTTCTCATGACCTGGAGTGCGTGCCTCGTCCTCATGGGATGACATCCCAGATTCTGCCACACCTTTCTTGGCAGCTGCAGGCCTTGGAAATGACCCTCCATCCGCCATGGGAACCACCTGAGTCCCAGGGACCTAGTGTGACTCCAAGTCCTCCAGCAGCATCATGAGGTCCTTCCTCTTGTTACCCTCGGGTGCCTGTGGTCAGTGAAGCCGCGGGGAGAGTGCAGTGTCTTGGCAAAGGGGCCTCAGGAGTGGGGGGATTGGGTACCTAGTGCCAGCTACGAAACACCAGTCGCTGCCGTGAGGGGGCGCCAGAGTGCACTGTTCCTCAACCTTTTGAAATCTGAGCAATTTATGGGGTGCCTACTTGTACAACGTGCTGGGGATTCAATAATGAACACGTACAGGCCCATCCTGCCCTCACGTATCTCACCATTTGGTGGGGAAACAAATGTTAATCACACAAGCAAGTGTAAGGCATCTGTGGTGACAAGGGGGACAGTGCAGGAGAAAGAAGGGGCACTGTGAGGCCCTGTACCCAGGGGACCTGACCCAGGAAGAGCGGTTGAGGGAGCCTTCCTGGAGTAAGTGACACCTTCACTGAGACCTGAGGATGCTCAGGTTGGACTTAACTGTGCAGAGGGTGGGAAGGGTATTCTGTGCAAATGGAACAGCATGTGCAGAAATCCAGGGGCTGAGGGATGTGGGGTGAGTAACAGGGACTGCAGGAGGCCAGGGGGCTGAAGTGGGGTGAGGGAAGGGGAGTGAGGCCGTGTTGAGGCTGGAGGGTGGACAGAGGGCAGAGGACGTGGGACCCTGCAGGCCGCTGGGAGGAGTCTGGGTTTTGTTTGAAGTGGTACGAGAAGCCGCTGAAGGGTTTTGAGCAGTGAGGAGAGGGGTGCTCCCTGATCTCCAGGAAGCTCCAGTGGCGGGCTTTTGCACGTGGGCGGGGAGACCAGGGAGGAGGCTACTGCAGAGGTCCAGGCAGAAGGGTGACCTGGCCCAGATCAGGGCCTGAAGTGGATGGACTGGAGAGAGATTTGCGACTGCCTCACGAGAGGCCTCCATCCCCTGTGCAGAAGAGGAGAGTGTGGACCACTGTCCAGCTACCCGGCTCTCAGGCAAGCTTGCAGAGAGACTGGGGAAGAAGAGTCGTGGGGCTCTGGTCTCTGATATGCAAGGATCCATCCCTTAGATGGGGAAGCTGACCTCTCTGTGGCATAGGAATTAAGGACCTCTTCCAGGTTCAAGTACCAGGCAGACAGTGAACCGAGGCTGTCCAAGGCAGAGGCTGTGGGTGATCAGGGGGAATGTGGACACAGGAAATGCAGGCCCAGAAGGGGACACACACGCAGTGGTAGTTATTACACATTCAGAAGCAGGGAGGTGGGAGGAGGTACATGGGGGCAGGCTGGTGCCTCGGGCGTGGCCCCCGCCTGCCTGCCCCATCCCCACGCAGAAACAATACGACTGTGGACAAGTGATCACATGTATTTAGAATTTAAAGTTAAAATGTAGCTTGTCCAACACTGCCCAGCCGAGTCCACTAATTTCCTGAGCCCAGGGAGTGCTACTCCTCCACTGTCAACCTTCCGTCGGGCTTTGCGAGTGCCCTGCACAGGTTTGAGACCAGCTTTCCTGGGGCCAAAGCTGCAGGCTCCTGGAGCATTTTCCTGAAGTGACTGCGGTCCCGATACCTGGACTGCCCCTGTCTGCATGCTGCCAGATCAAACCACGTGTCTGGGTGTGGCTGAATCGGACGCAGACCCTGAGTGGACATACCTGTGACCCCTTACAAGGCCTCAGCTCCTACCATGCCCTTGCTGCTCCTCACGTGGGCACATATGTGGGAGAATCGGATAAAGGGGTCCTCTCAAAGGGGAGGTTTCTCTTCTGGGTTGAACCTGGGCCTGGCTCCTGCCCTTGGTTCCTACCTGGTGCCCTTCCATGCCCCACGGAAGCAAGGACAGGCATCAACGCTCAGTGTTGCCCTGACCTGTGTAGAGCGATGCTGGGATCCAACCCGGCCCTCAGAGTTCCAGTCTAGTGGAGGAAAAGATACTCGCCAAACAATGGCATCCTGTAGGCAGGACTGGGCTGGGGGAAGCACAGGCAAGAATGATTAAGGCCTCTTTAAGCCCAGGGGGCTTTGGGAGCCCAGCAGGGGCTCCTAACTGAGCCTGGGATGGGAGTGGAGAGAGTCCAGGATGTCCTGAAGGCAGGCCGGCTTCGTGGCAGCGTGACCTGTGCAATCGCACAGCGCCCCACGTTTAAAAGGACCCCGTGCTTGGCTGAATGCCCTGCTGTCGCCATCTTGAAATTCTTAATGATTTTCGAACAAGGGGCTCCACATTCTTGTTTTGCACTGGGCCCTGCAAATTATGTAGCCAGGCCTGGCCGTGGAGAGAACACTTGAAGGATATACAAAGAGAGTCTTCCAAGGAGAGAGAAAATCGAGTACAAAAGACAAGAAAGGAAGAGAGAGGACTGTGCACTTGAAGAGCTGGCGGAAGTCCCATGTAGCTGGAGCACAGAGTGGGAGAAGGGGATGGTGATGGGTGAGCCCAAGAAGTGGGCAGAGGCCAGCTGCCAGGCTGAGGAGCTGTGACTCCATGCCAGGGGCAATATGGAGCCATGGGGCAGAGACAAGGTCAGGTTTGGACTTGAGAAAGATCCATCTGGCTATGGTGGAGAGGGTGGCTAGGGGCCCATGGCAAAGAACAAGGTCAGGGATGGGGGCCTCGGTTGCTTGTGGAAGGGGTTGGGAGTGTCTGGCCACTGTGAGCAGGCTTATGAAGAGCTTGAATGCTTGATTGACAGACCCCCCCAGTGCACCAGAAGACTGGCCGGGGAGACCCCAAAGCCGCAGGTTGAACCCAGAGCTTCATTTTCTTTGTTGCTGCTGTTCGTGGTGGTGGTGGTGAGGAAGACTGGCCCTGGGCTAACATCTGTTGCCAATCTCCCTCTTTTTGCTTGAGGAAGATTGTTGCTGAGCTAACATCTGTGGCAGTCTTCCTCTATTTTGTATGTGGGACGCTGTCACAGCATGGCTTGATGAGCAGTGTGTAGGTCTGCGCCTGGGATCCAAACCCACGAACCCCGGGCTGCTGAGGCAGAGCACGTGAACTTAACTACTATGCCACCAGGCCGGCCCCCAGAGCTTCATTTCCACTTGAAGATTTTCCTGTTGAGGGTGAGAGGGGGCGTGCACAGGGTAGGTTAAACAGTGTCACTGGTAAGTACTTGAAAATCTTCTTTTTATATGAGAACTCACATGGATAGACTGATGGAGGTGAATGCAAAATTAGCAAGAATTTAGAGTATAAAATGTGAGACTTCAAAGGACTTTATTCTGGGTATATTGTGGCTTCAACTCTGTG